TCAGAGACAAGTAGATTTATTGAGAAAACAGTAGTACACAGCTCTAAGGCACAGAGAAATAGGTGGAACTAAATTCCCCATGTGCTAAACCCCTAAAGTCCCCTCATTACCCCCTCCCCCACGATCGTCAAATCCTTCCTGCGCAGGTTGTCGGGGCTCTCATATTTCCTCCATTGCTACGCCCTTAATCGATCTGGAAGATTCAGAAATGGCTCATCAGCGCCTAGCAGTCCTTGCGCTGACCTCCCCCCCCATCTGCTGGAATGGCAGAACCGCAGCAAACGAAGCAGTCGTGCGAAGGAGTGGTCACGAGGATTCTGACACAGGGTCTGTTTGGGGCAGGGCAACCCTATCCAGTCCCTGCGATGGTATAATCCCAGAACCGGAGGGCCTCAGAACCCCAAGCCACTCAGTGGCCAGAGTCCAGCTGAAGCCTCCTGTTCCACATCCAGAACCTCACAGCCTCCAGACACCAGGATAAGACATCCATACCATCACTTAAATTGCCAGGAACGGAGATGTACAACTGGGTATCATCAGTGTACTGATGTTACCTCACCCCATGGCGACGGATGAGTCACCCAGTGGCCTCTTGTAGATGTTGAATAGGAGAAGAATAGGGGCTGGGGGTGGGATCTCACCTCCCCAGTCACCACCGACTGGAATCAACCCTGGAGAAAGGAGGCGAACTTTGCTCAGCTACAAGAGTTTCCAGCTACATAACCGATGTCATTAGTTAGCTCCCAAATTCTTATGAAGGGGACAACATTTTCGTTCTCATCCACCCATTTAGAGTATGTATTATGAGAGATCTATACATTTTCAACAGTTCTACTAGGTAAAACAAATCTGGGTCCATAGGTTAGGAAAAGCTTTTTAAAAGGGCAGTTTAGGAGTGGGTTATAAAGAAACAAAATCCATGTTTTCCCCTTTTCAGAGCATGTGGAGCATTGATATAAACTTGGGGTCAACAATATGGTACCTTAAAATTACCCTTCATACTTGCCAACTACTAAACTACCCACTTGCATTTTTTTTATATA